AATATCCACAGTGGAACTGGCTATAAAGAAATTGAGGGATACTTAATATACTCCATTTTTAAATGAATACCAGGATAAATGATATAAATTGATCCATAGCAAATAATATCTACCTAACTGTCCTCCAAGTAGTAAAGCCTTATTAATTGCAGCTTATAGTTTTACAAGTAGATGCAATACTTAAAACTTTTTCTTGAAAAAATTCAACGTAGCAAAACAGATGCACACATCAAATGCTCAACAAGCAGTCACTTGACTTTTCAATAGCTGTGACAAAAATGTTGATTTAAAGTATAAAGTACAGTTCTTCTACTGTTGCATGAAGCCTATAAGGCCTTGGGCTCTCTCCAAAACACCAATGCTAAGTCATACTGTATCCCATATCCTCTTTTAACATGCGATCCCTGCATATTGGGTTGTAGCTGGTGAGATTTAAGAGGGGCGTTACTAACAAATTACCTTAACCACCATAAACTTCTCAGTGGTTGGGGCTATGCTTCTTGCCTATAACTTTTGGGTGGTTTGGGCTATGCTTTTCATATTTCACAGATGTATTCCTTGTGACAAGGCCTTTCTTCAGGTACCACTAAATTTGACTTTTTGACCTTGACCCACTCTTACTAAAACCTACCAAACTTTAACCCTGGACATAACTTTTGAACAGTTGGTGCTAGGGATTTTCTATTTCACGTGTATTCATTGTGACAAGACCTTTCAATGGGTATAAATATTTTTCACCTTCTGACCTTGAACTTAGAGTTTGACCCACTTTTAAAAAAAAACTTTAATCTTGGTCGAAACTTTTGAATGGTAGTACTTGGGCTTCATATTTCTGCAAATGTGTTTTCTTTGTGAAAAGACCTTCCTTAGGATACCAACAATTTGACCTTGACTTTGGAGCATGTCTTGTATTTGAGAAACTACAACCTTTGCCAAAAAGCTGTCATATGAGGGCATCAGTGTTTCAGAAATACATCTTGTTTTAATCTGATACATAAAAGAGTACAATAGCTTCTTCTGTAATGTAAATAAATTATAAGACCTATGTTTTACATGTATAAACTTATATTTCTGAAGAACACAGAAACCTATAATTTTCTTTTGTCAAGTTTGATTTATAAGACATTTATCCCAGGTGAAAATATTCCAAAGTGAGGTTGGTTATTCATTAACCTTAACTTAATGTCCTAAAAAAATCAAATGTTTAACAAGAGCAAAAAGACCTTGCTATGGTATGATAAGTAAAATGTACGCATCATATGATGGCATAAAAACAGGTCATTGTGACCTACAATTAGGGGTGTGTTACACCCTCAAGTTTACTATAGTATAAATAAGGAGTCTGAACCCATGTCAGAAAGGCAACATAATTCATGCTAACTAAAAATTTTCAAGAACACTTCAGTTCCATAAAAACAAGTATAAGCACACACCGATTTAGCATCCAAGAAAATTTCAGCGCATAAACATGTCATCTCACTGGCCCAGGTTTCCAACCCTTAATAGTGTACACAATTTCCACAATGGAAACTGGCAATTAGGAAATATTGCTCTGTTTAATAGGACAAACCAATAGCATTGGAAAACCAGTGCCTAACTGTCCTTCTAGAGGTGAATGATACCAAATCAGGGCATAAAGTTTCATGGCAGATTCAAAATAGTATATGTTCATATAAGCATATATAGAGAGATGTTCAAATGAGACTGGTCGCCCACATGGTGCAGTGGATAGGGCATCTGCTCTAGAGTTGCGAGGTAAGGAGTTGATCCTTACGTTGCAGGTTCGAATCCCACTGTGGGACGTGGAGATCGGTTCTTCGAATGAGACCGTATAAACTGAGGTCCCGTGTTGCAGTAGGTGTTGGCACGAAAAAGATCACTCCCTGCTCAATGGCCCTCAGTGTCAAGTAAAGGAAGAACTTTGCATCTCTCCACCACCAAGTGTTAATGGTGTCTTCATATTAGTGAAAAATTCTCGAGGGGAATGTTAAACAATATACAATCAATCAATCAAATGAGACTGGTTAAATCCAAACATACTCTTATCATAAAATTGACATTTGTAGCTAGTATGCAGATTAATATTAAATATGTGCTGTAATGTAAACACTTTGCCTTCCCTAAACAGGAATAGTAGTGCACAATGATCAATACCCTATCATCCAAATATTTATAATCAAATACCAAGTTCCCCGCAGCAATGGGGCAAATGGGGACCTCAAACACTCAACAGTTATTGATGACTATTATATCTCTTCTCCTTACTTATAGTGGGTTATAATCATTCTGCTGTTTTTAACTTTCTGTTTTGGTGAGTTTAGTTACTCAGGGAATTATTTGCCATCCAACATTGGACAATATTTCTGAGAATTCAGGAGCTAGTTACAATACCTCCAGGACACCCATATCAACTTCTGTAAAAAACCTAGTGCATACTGAATGAAATCAATTCTTTACAATGGCTCTCACAGGAGTTAAAGATATTGTGCTTCAATTTATGTAATATATTTTTGAAGGTGATTATAATCATAAGCTATATCACATTTAGTCCACATCATTCAGTGACATGGCCATTTATAGTAGGACTGCCGGGTTACGTGAAACAGCAATAAGAGCTAAACTTTTAAATGGATGCAAGTCATTGTGACTTACTTTAAGCTAGGTGAATCATGACCCCCTAAAGTTAAATACCTCTGTATGAACAGGGAATTGAACCCAGGTCAGAAAGACAAAACATTCATGCTAACTAAAAATTTTCAAGGACACAAACTCAAATCCACAATATATGCACACACCGTTTTAGCATCCAAGAAAATTTCAGCGCATAAAACATTTTACCTCACTGGCTCAGGTTTTGCACACAATTTCCTCTGTGGAAATTGACATTAATGAAATATGATATATATGCTCCATTTATAAACACAATACAGCACAAAGCCAGAGCAAATGAAACGATTAAGAAATATGTCTTCAGAAAATTTATGCTGAATCAGGACATAGTTTAACAGTGTGCACCCATTGTGCACATATCTACACCAATATGATTACTAAGATGTTTGAATGGAAATGTTACATGATGAGGTGCATCACCATCAGGAATACAAAATGGTATCTGTACCTTTACATATGGTACTTAGAGTTTAATCTATATACCTGTACTTAATCATAGAAATACTGTATTTAGTTAATTATACCTTAGATTAATTTAACAGAGTAACAGTTTAATGCCCTTAAATTATGTAATAGTTATTAACACAAGATAATGAATAGAATCTCTCTTAAACATAAATCTCATAATGAGGTGCTAACTTAAGGTTTCAGACACAGGCCCTTAAGTGTCCTTAGATTTTATATATATGTATCAAGTGCCGTACAAGGATGGAATGTTTAAATGAAAAAGGACTGAAAATCCTGACCCTTACTAAAGAAGCATCAAAGAAAAGTATCTCATAGTTTAAGGCCTCATTCAATAATGTGATGCAGACAAGGATCAAACAATTAATGTTTGGGAAAATTGGGACTGAATTTTAATAGGGATTATCACCAACATCTGAAAACCCCCTTCCTCCCCAAAGAATTAAACATGCATTTAAAGGATTTTGTTATTTACAATAAGCAATGAATCAACAAAATGTGAAACTGTAAGGGCTAGCATACCATAAAGAGGCTTACCTAAACGTAAAATTTACATTGAATCTTATATAAACTCATGAACACTCTCAAACATGACATACTCACACACACATATATAAACAAAAGTTCAAGATGAACAATGTCCAAACGTTGATATTTTAACTCAGTCCATCCTTAAACCATATTCCTTCTTCTGAGTCCTGTCAGTCTGGGATTCCTCTCTTCCTCCTGTATAAAACAACCAATCATTATTCACTAAGGGTTACCGGTATTTGAACTGGAAGAAACAGTAGCAAAATATGTATATTGCATTGAGAATTTTCTATCAAATCACATCATGAAATTATAATATGATTAAGGAAAAACACGATCATATTCATCATAAAGCATGAAAACTTGTCGATTTATAAAGAAATGTAGCAATTTTGTGATATGAACTAATGTGCTGTCAGATCCTGTTCTTAAGTCATTTAGGCTCAGGTTACCTACTGAGAAATTTTGTTTACAGACTAAGGTGCCCTACTTAGAAAGTTTGAGAATGGCTCTGATAATTTACTGAGAAAGTTTGAGCTTGAACTCCTCGTGAACTAGAGAAAGTTTGAGTATAGACTCAGGTAACCTTCTAATATGGTTTGAGTAAGAAGAACAAACTGTATCTTACCCTCTGGTCAAGCCAATCTGGAATCTTGTTCTTCCTAAAGGTTAATCTATGACTGCTGTAGATAAGGCTAGTCCAACAGTTTGTCTGTTGACAAAGAACAAGGAAGGTTAATAGCAAAAGAATGTAAATATTTTATCTAATGGCAAAGAAAAAAATCACAGAAAAAAGGAAAGTATTTGTGTTTTATCTTACTTTTATATTAGGCAACAGTTCAATGCTTTCTTGGAACTCCAGATGAAACATGAATCCCCTTGAACATTGGATCCAGGTTAGCTTAATTCTCTGTTATCAAAGAATATAAAGAAATTAACTTGACTGTTAATTAAAGAATGTATACAGATCAGTTAGTAAAGGTACAGAAAATTGAGAAATATGGATATAAATTGACAGAACGCAAGTAGTGTATCTTACTTCTTACCATCTTCTGCAGGTTTGATTCAGTTCTGACTGTCAGTATTCTTTTGTCTGGTGTTTAACACAAGTCCTAACCCAGAGGGTGGGAGACTGCAGTCAAGACTCACCAAACCATCGATCTGTGAACATAGAGAGTTTAGAGTCAAATATGTGATGTACTTAGACAGAAAACAGAAATAAATCTAATGGTGTAACAAATGCAGCTGAATTCTTACCACTTTGACATAAATGGCTGCTGGCACATGTTATGGACACGCTGTGCCCTGGCAATGATCTGCTCTTTATTGTATGGCTATCTGGTGTCCAGCTCTTCCTGACAGGTGAGGTACTTTTCCAAACCCTTGACAATATAAGGGTCAGTTGTCCGTGTTTCTGTAAAACAGAGATTAAAAATCTAGATGCCTCAATCATAACCATGTGAAAAAGCACAAGGAATGGATTTAGCACAAATTATCTGTATATTACCCTTCGTCCATGGCTGGCAGCAGTAAAACTTGGATCTTCTTCTTTGTGTGGTCGTCTTCTTCTTTGTGTGGTCCTCTTCTTCTGTGTGTGGTCCTCTTCTTCTTTGTGTGGTCCTCTTCTTCATTATGTGGTCCTCTTCTTCAGCAGGTGATCCTATGCTCTATTAATTGAATGGTTGTCCTGCTGTCACCTGAAAAAATAGGACTCAGTTAATCTAAGGTCTAGCTAGGATCTTTAGTTCTAGGATACTGAGATTCCAGATCAAAGGAGACCAATTCAACATGCTAAGATAAGCATATAAAATGGCCCTAATTATAATCACCAAGTTGTGGATCAAGCACATTAATTCTTTGTAACTTACCCTTTCTTCCAAGACTGCCTGCACTGGATGTCTGTTCCTAGTCACGAAAATTCTCCTGAGAAAGAGATGTGTTCTCTGTCACAAGGTTGTAGCTTGCCAAACCATCATTCTGTTAATTAGAGAGTAAAAAGTTATAACACGTCCAAATCATTTTGATACATAGACTAACATGGTAATCCAAAAAATGTAACATATACAGCTTGTTTCTTACCAGTGTAGCCGATGATGGCCTGTTGGTTTAGTGGATATGGTACCCTAAAGTCTGGCAATGGACCTCCTCTCCTTCTATATACCTCCTCTTCCTTGGGTGGTCCTCTTCTTCCTTGGGTGGTCCTCTTCTTCAATGTGTGGTCCTCCTCAGTCTGTGGTCCTGCAACCTGAAAAAAAAATTCACAGTATTTATTTCAACTTTTGGTTCTTTAGTTGTAGGATACTGAGATTCTAGATCAATTTAGGGGGCTCATTTTACATCTGTGAAGATGAACACATAAAATGGCCCTAATTATAATAATATGTGAAAGAGCACAACAATGGATTTAGCACATTTAATTTGTATCTTACCCTTTCTTCCTTGGCTGGCTGCTGTGGATCTCTCTTCCCTTAAAACCCTGGACTCCTCCTTTTGAGTGATGCTTGGATATGTTCTCTACCATGAGACCAAAGACCATTATTCAGTAAACATTACTCCGTAAATATACAAGAGGTCTAATGAGTGTCTTTATTGGAATGACTAAGAATAAAACATTTCAATCTAACAAATGGGCCTTATAATGAGCATTTGCAACAACTTTCCATACATGGCTTGGCCATGATATATGGCATTCACAATTTTGAAAGAGGCAATGATCATCATCTACACTTAGCAGTTGTGTGGTTACTGAATATCCATACGCAGGGTGGGAACAAAAATGCATTCCAACTAATCAGTAATATTCAGCAATAATCAGTAGTGCACCTAACACTGTGACATAAACCCCTGACCCTAGGTCCACACATTGCACAAATTTTAAAAAGAAACTCTTAAAATTGCCTATCAAAAAATAAATGAATGTATAAATACAAAGGAGCAGATTTCAAACAATTAATTCATTTTCTATATAAGTAGACCCTTTTTCCAGGATGCCAGTAAAATTCACAATTCTTCATTGTGTGGGCCCTTCTCATCACACTATATAGGTAGTTAATCTGCTTCATACCCAGAGACAGAGAAGAAAATTTTCAAAGATTTAATTGATTTTCACTATATGTGTGGTCCTCGCTCTTCTTCCTTGTGTGGTCCTCTTCTAATTTGTGAAGAGGCATTCTTGCTCATCATAACTATGTACCTCTTCTTCTTTGTGTGGTCAGAGAAGAAGATTCTTTGTGTATGTATTCTTCAATATATTGTGTGTTCCTCTTCTTCTTTGTGTGGTCCTGGAATTATCTTCACAATGTGGTAAAAGCACTCTTCTTCATCATTACTATACACTATGCTTTATTGAGATGGATTTCCAAAGAATTCATGCTATATAATCCATACCTGCTGTCTCCTCAACACCAAACCCCTGGACCCTCCATTAAATTTACAAGGTTGAGGCACTCTTTCATCATAACTATGCATAGTTAGTTTATTACCTAGGAGCAAAGAAGGTTTTCAACATGCTAAGATGAGCACATAAAATGGCCCAAATTATAACCATTAAGTTGTGGATCAAGCACATTAATTCTTTGCAACTTACCCTTTCTTCCATGACTGACTGCACTGGATGTCTGTTCCCAGTCAGGAAAATTCTCCTGATAAGTAAGAGATGTGTTCTCTGTCACAAGATTGTACCTTGTCAAACCATCATTCTGTTAATTAGAGAGTAAAAAGTTATAACGTGACCCAATCATTTTGATACATAGACCAACATGGTAATCCCAAAAATGTAACATATAACATTACAGCTTGTTACTTACCAGTTTATGTGATGGCCTATATATAGTGGATATGGTACCCTACACAAGTCTGGCAATGGTCCTAAAATTCACAATTTTTGTGTATTCTCATCATAACTTCCTTGTGTGATCCTCTTCATTGGGTGGTCCTCCTCTTCCTTTGGTGGTCCTCTTCTTCAATGTGTGGTCCTCCTCAGTCTGTGGTCCTGCAACCTGAAAAAAATTCACAATGTTTATTAAACTTTTGGTTCTTTAGTTGTAGGATACTGAGAATAAAGATTAATTTACGGGGCTCATTTTACATCTGTGAAGATGAACACATAAAATGGCCCTAATTATAATAATGTGTGAAAGAGCACAAGCAATGGATTTAGCACATTTAATTTGTATCTTACCCTTTCTTCCATGGCTGGCTGCTGTGGATCTCTCTTCCCTTTCCTGGACTCCTCCTTTTGAGTGATGGATGTGTTCTCTACCATGAGACCAATGCTTGTTTAACCATTTTTTCTGTTAATATACAAGTCAGAGGTCTGAGTGTCTTTATTGGATTGACTAAGAATAAAACATTGCATCTAAAACTGTAACATAAGCAGCCTGTTTCTTACCACTTTTGTCAATGTTGGCCTGTTGACTGTATCCTGGTAATGGCTTCCTCATTATTGTGTGGTTGTCCACAATTTGGCATCTGTCTATACCTGCTGTCATCTAAAAGTTAAAACACAAATTATTTTAGCTCTTGGTACTTTACTTGGTCAAATACTGAGATTCCAGATCAAAGACAGCTCTGTTTGCAACAGTTAAAATGAACACAAGGATTTGAACCTTACCCTTAATGAGTGGTTGGCTTCAGTTGATCCCAACTCCCTGGACTCGTAAATCCACAAGTAGGGTTGTCATTGTTTGTATTGGGATTTAGGTTAACTATAATTCTGTTAACATACATCAAGAGTCAAACTAGTACATGTACTAGTACCGGTCTTAAATAAAGTGAAAATAAAAAATCTAAACATAAGAAAAATGCAGCTTGTTTCTTACCACTTTAGCCAATGTTGGCCTGTTGGTATAGTGGATACCCTGTATCCTGGCAATGGTTTCTTATTCCTTGTGTTGGTGGCAGCCATCTGTCCATCCCTTCTAGTGCTCTTGATAATGGTAGAAACTGACACAGAATTAGTACAGGTTCAAAACATTTTAAGAAGTAACCTTTAATGAATCATTCACAAACAAAAACATGTGACAATAACATATATGGACAAAAGACAAACAATGATAAATGAAAATGGCAAATAGGTGGTGTTAGTACTGTAAGTAAAAAAGGGAAGGGGAAAGAAACAGGAAACAAAAAAAATATGCAATAGAAAAAAACAACTCACCTCATTTCTGGCTTATAAGATCAAAATACAACCTTTTCTTGGGTTCCATGGGTACACTTGGCTCCATTCTGTCTGGTGAATAAAATTTTCAAATTGTTAAAATGACTTATCAAATAAATCTAATTTTTAAAATAATTTTTTAAGGAATGAAAGAAAAAGTGAGCAAGCTCACATACCCCATGCTCCCCCAAAACTCAAAGTGCTCAAATTGCCAGGAAAAATAAAGGAATCTGAATTTCCTGGTAATATGCACATCTACACATTGTGTCCTAAATATCTGCAAATTTTGATCAAATTCTGTGCAGCGGTTTAAGAGGAGTTGCACTGACAAACTGTTCATCTCTATATTCAAGGTATGGCCAAAAATCTAAGTTGAAATGTGCAGAAATTCCCGGAAAAAATATGGAATCCAAATTTCCTGGTAATATGCACATCTATCTACACGTTGTGTCCTAAATATCTGCAATGTTTGACAAAATTCTGTGCAGCGGTTTATTAGGAGTTGCACTGATAAAAAAAAAAAACAGGACTGACGAACTGACTGATGGGTCAAAAACAATATACCTCCCACAACTTGTTGCTTGGGGTATAAAAATATTCATGTAAATAGTTTTTGTTTCATAAAAAACATATTCTCATCACTGATATCTGTTCAAAACCTCTTTTAATTTTAAGTGATTTTTTTTGTTTAAGAATATTTAATGATACTATAATTTTAAACAGGAGGATATCTTTGCAAAATCACCAGTGAGAAAGGTACATTGAAATAACATGTACCTTGTGTGTATGACCTATAATATGGGTATTGCATTACTGTTTACATATATATATATATATATATATGTATTAAAAAATTCTTTTCTACTTATTTACCAAGAAAAACATCTCTATGTCCAAGTAACCAAAAAGCAGTTTTACTGATACACTGATGTTGTCACTGGTTAACCAGGTGTTCATTGACAACATTAGTACTATGATTTTGTCAAATGGCAAAAAACAAACTTGCAAAGAGTTAAAAAAGAAGAGTTTGCATCTTACCTTCACTTCTAGGTAAAAGTACTGTAACAGTTTCTATCCTTTATCTTGGTTGTCTTGTTCAGCATAATACTGCCATCTCTAAAACCTGGGAACCAGCCAAGCCTAACCTTCTTCCTGTCAACACAAGACACACAGAGGTCAACAAAACAAAAATTTATAATAATCAGACTTCTTCCGATGAGTAATGAAATCTTGCAAATAAATGGAGTAGAGCACATATCTTACCTCCTTTATACAAGGAAGCTTGCAGTCAATCAATACTAATACCTCTTCTATAACATGAGAATACTCTTGGACATACATTGTAGGATCTGTCAGGTTACCTGTTAACAATGTAGAACTTTAGAAAATCTAATTCAAATGGAAGTGATACATTCTAAAAGAAGTGACTTTTTTGTCTTGCAGTTACCTGTAGGATTGACGTACAAGTCAATTTCAGCTACTGGCAAGTGATACACTCTGCTAAATCTTAGGATGGGTACTGTCTCCTGCTAAATCTTAGGATGGGTACAGATGCACATATCTACATCAAGTATGAAAAAACACAAGAATGAAGTCTGTACAAAGAAAACAGATTTTTTATTTTACCCTTTCTTCTATCACTGACTACAGTTGATCCTTGCTTCCTGGACTTCTTGATGCAAACCAAGGAGTCTTTTTGTAAAATCACGGCTGCTCCAATCAATAATCTATTAACAAAGAGATTCAAGGGTTTAAATAAGTCCCTAATTTGGACAACAAAAGTCCAATATGCAACAAATGCAGTTTGTTCCTTACCATTAGTCAGATGTTGTCCTGTTGTCATAATGGATACCCTGTATCCTGGTAATGGTGTCCTCCTGTTGTTATGGTGGATACCCTGTATCCTGGTAATGGTGTCCTCTGTGTGTTGTTGGCTGCCATCTGTCCATCCCTCCTCTGTGCCACTAGCAAAGAATGAAACTGACAAAAAATTAGTAAAGTTCAAATGCAATGAAACAGAAAGGACAAAAAGATTATACCTATTTAAGGCTGCTTGGCATAGGTTCCATGTCCTGATGCTTCAGACGGATATTCTGTCAATTGAAAATAAAGAGGTTAAAGTGGGACTCAGAAAACAATGTAAAACAAGATATGTTTGTGAAACACTAATGCTCCTCCTCCTCCTCCCTTAAATAATTGGAAGTCCAAGGGGCATAATTCGATCTGTCCAAAATTGCTTGATCATACCCAAAACTGCATTTGATCTACATATTCTTATGATAATTTTTTCTGCACTCAATTTCATTTCAGTATGTAAAAATATACAAAGAAAATGAACAAAAACTGCAAATAATTCCAATGGGCACAACTCTGTCCAAAATTGCTTGATTGTATAATAAACAGAACTTGACTTAGATATTCTTATGATAAATCTATATACCAAATTTCATTTCAGTGCAACCTCTGCAAAGAAAATGAATGGAAACTTGGTGGACCTACAGATAAACTGACCGACAGACAGCAGCAATTAAAGCATATATGTCCTCCCTTCTTTGAAGGGGGTCATAATTAGAGGTACTGTGAATATGGAACTAAGTACACGGACAAAATGTTACACCCCCTCTTATGCAATGGAAAATTCATTGTTTTACAATGTTTTCACAACCAAATCATAAAATAGGTTGTGCACAATGGCATTATGTAATAAAGATACTGTAAAAAGTCTTTAATTTCTTCAATAGCTATAGGTCGATTATCCACAATTACATATGGGAAATCCAATTTTGTGTCCAATAAAAATTAATTTAATTCTCCTCACTTTTCTAGCAGGATGTATAATAAAGAATTTGTGTAAGAAGAGAGAATCTTACCATATCTTCCAAGGTAGGCCTCAGTTTATGGGGTGACTCCTCTTCACTGCCGGGTCTAGGTCAGCCATCTGCTCTGTCAAGACAAAACACTGAATGTCTACATTACTGCAAACTCTTTCTTATGAACATGATGGACAAGAAATTAAGGAAATTAATGAAGACTTAATTTAATATAACAAGAAGTAATCAATGTACATTACCCTGACATGGTTGGTTTTTGCAGTGGATCCTTTTGGTCTGGACTCTTTTTCTGTCTTTAACTGGCCAATGTAAAACTGCTAATGGAAGGCAATCTAATAAGAAATAAATAAAGGTCAATTAAAGATTTCAGTAAATAATTTCAGCAAACACAGATGTCCAGTCCAGGATAAATTGTTTAAATGTTGGTATCCAAGATAAGACCTTAAAAAAGAGTACAAAAAAGAAGAAACCTAATGCACCAACTGTTCAGTTTTTATGTCTTATCATGCTTTTATTTTAATTTTCAAAAGAAAATCAAATGTCTGAAATATCCAGGTATTCAAAGATAGTACTTAACACAAAAAATTACATGTGAAAATAAAAGCCATGATTACAACCAACAAGAAATTAAAGCCAAGGTTAAAGTTTTAGAAAATTACTCCAAATTCAAAGGTCAAAGTCAAATTGAAAAAGTTAAAATGTTGGCCATCAGAAAAAGGGATTTTGTCACAAGAAAACAATTGTAAAACTACATGTAGGCATTTAAACCAAGAATGCAGGAGTTATGGACAAGAGTTTTTGCAAAAGTTTTTGAAAAGTAAGCCACTCTAGACAAAGGTAAAAAATATAGATATCCTAAAATAGTGCTAAAGAGAAATACAAATGAAACACCAAAGTCCTAAGCCAGTACTTCTCAAAGCTAGGGTCAGAATAAAGTTTTTTTCAGACAAATAGATTGATGGACAGACAAGTGATTTGCCCTGAATCTCAGAATAGAGGAACATTAACAGAGAAGATGTTATGTCTTACCCTCACTTCTAGGTTCGGCCACTGTTCATCCTTACTCCTGGAAGGCTGGCACTCTATCTGAAGTATGACAGTCTGCATTGAAACATGGTTTCCATGGCCGTCTTACTCTCTACCTGTTCAAAAAGAATGCGAATTAAGAGGTGAACTCAGACTTAAACAAGTGAGAAGATTCTTGAATCTCTTGAAGTGTATGAAGAAAAGATTTTAAATTTTTAAACTTGCTGTAATCATGCTAACACTACTCACCCTAATCTTAGAATTGAGCACTGCTTGTCTCTGCTTCTTTAGGATTGGGCACTGCTCGTCTCAGCTTCTGTAGAATTGGGCACTGCTTGTCTCTGCTTCTTTAGGATTGGGCACTGCTTGTCTCAGCTTCTGTAGAATTGGGCACTGCTTGTCTCTGCTTCTTTAGGATTGGGCACTGCTTGTCTCAGCTTCTGTAGAATTGGGCACTGCTTGTCTCTGCTTCTTTAGGATTGGGCACTGCCTGTCTCAGCTTCTGTAGAATTGGGCACTGCTTGTTTTGGCTTCTGTAGGATTGGGCACTGCTTGTCTCTGCTTCTTTAGAATTGGGTGATGCTTGTCTCAGCTTTTGTAGGATTGGGCACTGCCTGTCTCTGCTTCTGTAGGATTGGGTGATGCTTGTCTCAGCTTCTGTAGAATTGGGCACTGCTTGTCTCAGCTTCTGTAGGATTAGGCACTGCTTGTCTCTGCTTCTGTAGGATTGGGAACTGCTTGTCTCTGCTTCTGTAGAATTGGGCACTGCTTGTCTCTGCTTCTTTAGAATTGGGTGATGCTTGTCTCAGCTTTTGTAGGATTGGGCACTGCTTGTCTCAGCTTCTGTAGAATTGGGCACTGCTTGTCTCTGCTTCTTTAGGATTGGACACTGCTTGTCTCTGCTTCTGTAGAATTGGGCACTGTTTGTCTCTTCTTCTATGGGATTGAATACCGCTTGTCCCTGCTTCTAAAAGATTGAATACCGCTTGTCCCTGCATCTGTAAAATTAAATACTGCTTCCCCTGCTTCTGTAAGATAAATAACTGCTTCCCCAGCTTCTGTAAGATAAAGTACTGCTTCCCCTGCTTCTGTAAGATAAAGTACTGCTTCCCACTGCTTCTGTAAGATAAAGTAATGCTTCCCCTGCTTCTGTAAGATGAAGTACTGCTTCCTCTGCTTCTGTAAGATAAAGTACTGCTTCCCCCTGCTTCTATAAGATAAATAACTGCTTCCCCTGCTTCTGTAAGATAAAGTACTGCTTGTCCCTGCTTCTGTAAGATAAAGTATAGCTTCCCCTGCTTCTATAAGAATACTTCTTCCCCCTGCTTCTATAGGATTGGGTACTGTTTGTCCTTCTTTAAGATTGGCTTCTGCTTGTACCTGCATCTGAAAGGGGAAAAAACTGTTTATCCATGCTTCTTCAAAATTAAATACTAGTTGTTTTGGCATCTGTAAGAGAAAAACCTGCTTGTCCCTGTTTCTTTTCAATGAAATACTGGTTGTCTCTGCATCTTCAAGATTAAATACTCTTTTTTCCTGCTTCCGTAAGGTTGGCTACTGGTTGTCTCTGCATCTGTAGGATAGAAAAAAAACTGCTTGTCCCTGCTTCTTCCAGATTCAATAATTTTAGCACTGCTTCTGTAAGGTTTGCTACTCTCATTCATTCTTCTGTAAGAAAAATATTATTGTTCCTGCTTCTGTAAAACTCAATACAGCTTGTCCCTGCTTCTGTAAGGTTGACTGCTAAGTGTTCTTACATCTGTAAGATAAAAAAACTACTTCTGTAAAGTTGGCAACTACTTGTCCTTGCATTTGAAGATAAAAAAAATGGCTTGTCCCTGCTTCTGTAAAGTTGGCTGCTACTTGTTCTTGCATCTGTAAGATAGATAAAACTGGCTTGTCCCTGCTTCTGTAAAGATGACTGCTAATTGTTCATTCATCTGTAAGATAAAAAAAACATACTGCTTCTGTAAAGTTGGTTACTATTTCTTCTTGCATCTGTAAGATAAAAAAAACGGCTTGTCCCTGCTTCTGTAAGGCTGACTACTACTTGTTCTTGCATCTGTAAGATAAAATAAAAAAAAACAGGCTTGTCTTTGCATCTGTAAGATTAAATACCACTTGTCGCTGCCTCTTTAAGATGCCTGTTCTTGCTTCTGTAAGATTAAATAAATATATAAATACTCGCATCTACACTGTATACCGTTCAACCTTGCAATCTCAAACTTGAAACCAATGTATTTATAAGGATTACAAAATACTTATAATTACTTTAATCATGGAAAAATAAATAATAGAGGGGAATAATTTGTTATAGCTCCATATCAATATTCGAGGTACCAAAGTTGAACTGTATATTTAACTTTTTTAGGTTTTTTTGGTTTTTTGTTTTTTTTTTTTTTTTTTTTTTGGTTTTTTGTGTTTTTTTGGTTTTTTTTTTTTTTTTTTATATATATATATATATACATTTCACATATATAAGATGAACTCAACACCATGATGTTGTATATACAACTATAAAACATCAATGAGTTGGTGCTCATCTCAAAGGGCCTCGCTCTAACTAAAGGGCATCAGGATGAGAGGGCATTGACAGTGACCTTGACATTTGACTTGCACCTTTAATCTACTGGTACTCCTGAAAATATGAGATGAAGCTCAAGGGAACACAAAATAATGACGATGACAATAATATCACACAGATGTCTGCTTTGACCTTGAAACATGACCAAAAACTTGGTTTATTAAGGCTAAAGTTACCATCAAACAAATTGGAATTCAATGGGATACCAAATCAATATTAGCTAGCTGGTACAAAAATATCAAATCTTGTTGGATAGAAATCATATCCAACCATAAACACTGGGAGATTTAAATACGTAAACAAAAAAAATTGTTTACCACTGACCTTTGGTTCAAGGACTCTACAAAGGGGAGAGAAAAATGCTCTAAAATAAATATGACATGACCTTGACTTCTGATCTATTAGCTGTTCGTTAGTGCACATCCAATACCTCTTGGCACTATAAGTAGATGAAGCATAAGCCTGA